TTACACCTATCCTATACATATTCTACAAATTTGAGTATTTGTGTAAGATTTGTATACTATATATGTATTTTATATATTTATCATTAAAGGCACTTCAAGACTTGACTAGACAAGTAGAAGATCTAGATAGATTGAAAACAGACTATTATAGGCAAACATTGGATACAGAACAAAATAACCTCAATTTTATTCTTTCTAAAGTTTCAACAGTAGTTAGGGCAGAAGTAGATATTTATGAAAGAATTTCCAGTAAGGGAGTTGCAGATCCAATATTAGAAGAAGTAATATATAATTATTTTTTAATTATTTTTTAAGTATTTTTTTATTTATTTATTATATTTTAAGATATTAATTATTAACAATGATATTTAGATGACAACACAAGGACCTGATCCTTTTTGTGCATATCAGAATGCAGATGAACCTTCAGAGATATTCACAGTTCTTCCACCAATTTCAATTGTTAATCCAATTACAGAATTCTCTAGTGCAACAGCATCATTAATAACGGATATGTCTGTCGAGGACAATTATAGTAAAGGCGATCAACAACCATTAACAAAAAAGTTGGATGAACAAGATGAAGATGATTTAAACAATGATGATGAAATACCTCGTGATGAATCTTTACATAATGAGAACCCTCACGGTGAAGAGAATGAACAATTTAACAGTGAGTAATTATTATTCACATAAATTTCATGGTTTTGATAACGCAGCAATTTCTAGTCAAATGCAACTTTTAGTTTGGTCAGACATACCTTCATTAGGTTGTTATTTCAATCCTTCTCTCAACTCCACTTTTAATATTTCAGATGGTGCCGAAATATTACATGATAAAGAGTTTACATATGAAGCGGAAGATTGTGGGTCTGAGGGTGAATTCGTAAACAATTATCCTAAGCGTGAAAACACGATTGATACACAAAATTTGGAATTTTCACGAACAGATGATGAATCCACATTATCAAATACTAATTCAGCATAATTGGCTGACATTTCACATTTGAAGGATTAATTATGAACTTAACACTTTTAATGTAATAGTCAGTCTTACCCTATATATAAGTAGTTCAATTAGTATTTATTAATTTATTCATTTGCTACATAATGTATTTAGTAAATAAAAAAAAATCATTTTTGCTCATTATCCAATTGATAGAAAAATTTTTATACAATATAAATTTACATTTGATTGATTTACATTATTTAAAATATAATTCACTTTGTCAAAACCGATTTTGTTTAAGCAGATAACCTTTTATAACATAAATAATTGGTTCGCTATGTTCGTTCCATAATCTAAAAACCATTTTTGATAGCCAATATATTCGAACAATATATTTACGAAGTTAAGAAATAATTTGACAAATACAAACAATAAATTTATTTTTTAAAAATCTTGACAAAATTAATTCTTAGCACTCTAGAAATAATGTGTATCAAAATAACGCCCCTGGTAAAAATTTAAAACAAAAATTATTCTTTTAATAATTATAGAAAATATTTTTTAGTTATCCGTCATGATATAGTGGACTATGGACTCGATAAATATGGATGGTAAAATAACGTTCTAAAACAGGTGATCTAGATAATTAAATCTGGATTTAAATACGTATATCCAGACTACGTATTAATGAATCGAAGCAAAAATTTATTAATTAATTAATATATTTTAATTTTACGTAAAAACTCTGAGTGTCGCCAAAAGAAAATTATACACATTTAAATATAGAACTTGTGCAACAGAATGCGGGTTTTCAAAAATTATTTTTAGAATACGTGATCCAAAAGAGAGCACAAAATCTGTAAATTCCGGCGGAATTTTTTGATTGTTATTATCGTTACTTCCTCCGGCTATAGATTCATAAAAAGATCATTGGGACACGATGATTTTCAATTCAAGTCTAGACATTTCTTGACAAATAAATGATTTTCGTACATCAGTTTCGTGTAACCTCACGTACATCAATTTTTTTTAATGATATTTATTTGATTTTATTGGTCAAAAAAACTTGATGTACGTGATGTTACATGAAACTGATGTACGAAAATCATTCCTCATAAATAAATTATTACAAATTATTACTCAAATACAACTGGAATAATCAGATATAAAATGCCCCATTCTTTGTGTAAAGTTCTATTTTTTTGGCAATACACATATATAATTTAACAATACTTAATATAATTATGATTAATCGATTTTCGATTCAAGATCATAGTTATCATCACTTGTTTGTAATTACCGTTACATCACCATCTCTATCGACAGCAACCCGAAAATGTGTACCAGGTTGCGCTCCGGATGATCACGTGATACTCCGGAATGAATATCCGGAAAATTTTT